TACAGTAGTGGTGTATAAACACAGAGTGAAAATTGATCAGTGAAGAAGAAACATTCAGTGGATCAAGAAACAACTTAGCATTACGAATGCATTAAACATTCAGCATCACTGATGAATGAAAGCAGTCCTACATGTTTGCTTCATATGCACATATAAAGGGCACATCCTATTTAAATCTAACTCCAAGATTCCTCAGAGTGTTACTCAAGGCCAAGGTAATGCCATCTAAAGTAGATATCTGTTTAGACACAATGTTTTTAAGATTTTTAGGAACAAGTACGATAACTTCAGTTTTATCTGAATTTGGAAGCATGAACCTAAAGGTCATCTAGGTCTTTATGGCTTAATTCATTTCTGCAATTTAACTAATTTATTTGTATCATCTGACTTTAGGGATAAACTTGGGTATCATCTGCATAGAAATGTAAATTTATGCAATGTTTTCTAATAGTGTTGCCTAAGAGAGGCATGTATATTGAAACTGTGAAACTCAATGAGTAACTTTTGCGTGTGAATTCTCATTTACATAAACAAATTGGAGTCTACTAAATAGATATGGTTTAAACCAGCAGTCCTTTTTTGCGCCATAGACCGGTTTATGTTTGACAATATTTTCATGGACCAGCCTTTAAGGTTTCGTGGATAAATACAACAAAATAAAACCAGTACTGGTACCACAATAAAGAAGTCTTATTCATTACACATGGGAAAAGACCCAGGGAAACTGAGTTAACGATAAAAACGATAAAAAATAAATAAATAGATAACGATGAAAAATGATAAAAACCCTGAAAACCATACATTTCACACCCGATCCTCAACTCTCGTGGCCCAGTACCAAACGACTCACAGACCGGTACCGGTCCGTGGCTTGGGGGTTGGAGACCGCTGGTTTAAACCACTGCAATGCAGATCTTTTCAATGGTGTGATCTAATCTTTAAATTGAATATTGTGGTTACCAGTCACTAGTGCTGCACTGAGGTCTAGCAGGACAAGCACAGAGATGAGTCCACAGTCAGAGGCATTGGCAAGTTCATTCATACCCTTCAGTAATGCTGTTTCTGTGCAGCGATGAGCTCTGACTCCTGACTGAAGCTCTTGAAATAAATCATTCCTCTGCAGATGATCAGGTAACTGTATGACAACTTCTCTTTAAAGATTTTTTTAAATCAAGAGAAGGTTAGAAATAAGTCTCTAATTAACTGGCAACCGAATCAAGTCATGACTTTGTAACTACGGTCTAGTTACTGCCACCTCAAAAGCTTGTCGTGCATAGCATGTTATTAAATATAGGTTGATTATATTAGAAATTGAAACCTTAATTAATGGTAAAAATACTTTAAGTAAATACCAATAGGTATAGTGGTTAAAATTGCTGTGGGAAACACTTAAAATGTGGGTGAGGAGACAAAGACAGGTTAAAATGTTATTTGTAAAGAATTTCACAAGTTCATAGCTAGTTAAGGTCAAAGAAGCTCTGACTGTTTGTCAGCCTGGCTACAGTGCTGAAAATAACTCTGGGCTTGTTCCTGTTTGAAAGTTCAGTTTGCTTCTCAAAACACTGTCAGTTTTGAAATTGTCATGGATACAATGAGTTTGCCACTCATGTAAACTTGCATAGCTTGGATTTTCTGTTTCCTGTTTTTTATCAAGCATGTCCAAACTTCCTAAACAGCAGTAAGCACATCCTGCTCTGATGTATGACCCAGAAACTCATTTTAAAAAGACTTAATTAGCATGTGTTTGTGTTTTAGAAAGACTGCTGTGCAAAAATCTTGAGCCACAGATCATTTTCTACTTTCTGCTAGGAAAATGGAAACTAGATGCAGCAGAAAATAATGAATCAGGTTGTTAATTACATAATTTTGTATCTTTTGTATGCTTTTCCATTAATACATGGTAACAGAATTTGTCTAAGAGAGCTTAAAACATACAAAAGGCAAAAATGGCAATTCTCACAAGCTTAACAGCTAATACTTGTTAAGGCCACCTTTATTCTTCACTGGAGCCTGAACTCTCTTAGCCAAACTTTCTTTAATTTCTCTAAGTATTCTTCAGGAATAGTTCTCCAGGTTTCTTGAAGGATATTCAAAGCTAATGTTGAGGTTCAAAATAGCTACGCTCCAGGCTCTGGGGAAGCCAATCCCCATGTGATAGTGTTCTGTTGTGTGTTTTTATTTGTTTTTTTGCTTTTTAAAAAAAAAAAAAAAAAATCCAGTTATGCATTTACTTCATTAGCAACATGTTTGGGATCATTGTCATGATGAAAAATTAAGATACCGATCAGATGGTTTCCAGGTAGTATTGCATGGTGGAACAACATTATGGTACTTTTCTTTTTACAAGAACCCCAAGGATCATGTGGCTTTTTTTGTTTGTGTGCAGGATTCAGTGGTCTGCAATGTCCCAGGCTGCTTGCACTGTAACACTATAAAACTTTGTTCAAAGTACTGTTAATTTACTTAATTTACCTAACTTGATGGCTATAAACCCAAGAGATTCTGGTATTAGTATGCCATTAAAGATGATGGGTTATATGTTGAGATAAATGCGGTGGATACCACACTGACTTGAACTTTTCAACCATCCTAATAACTGACGTCAGACCTCTATAAAACATTGTGAAATAAAACAGACAAAAGAAAGTCAGAGCTGATGTTTCTCATACTTTATTGAGCTGTGTGCACAGGTTAAAGATCAGGAAGGGTTAGAAATCCCGTTTTATTTAGATAGTTATGCTAAAACACTTCCACATGGTACACTCTGAACACTGTCATTACTTGAGTAGTAACTGGACAGAATAGTGCTGTCCCAAGTGAAACTGAGCACATGCCACAAGCAGCAGTCACAATATTTGACCATTGTTGCTCTAGCTACCACGATATTTCCAAACACTTATGGATTGTAAGAGTCTGTGACCACTCACATTAATGTTTTATACATTGAAAACAGTTTAATGTGCATAAAAACTAAACAAAAACACAATACAAGTGATATTGACTCCTAAAATCTGTTACCATTTGCCAGCTAGCATTGCTAATGGCAGCATAACACCTTGTGCTAGCTTGTTGCTAGCTCAAGATAAGGGTGATAAGTGTACAGTGTACAGTGTTACTGCTTGCATGTTATGACTACCCCACAGAGATACTTGTAGTACACGGCATGTAGCTGCACTTGTCAGTCTGAACACAGTTACAGTACGCACTCAAAATAGAAAGTGTAAATATGGAAGTTTGTAATTTGAGATGCACCAAATGGTTCAGACTGTCAGGAAGAAAAAAATTCACCTTGTCAACAGTTTGTGTGATAAGAGGTGGGATTAAACCTTCTCATTTGTTGTGACTCATCCCAGTTCTCACCTCCAAATGAAAACCACTTTCTCCAATGTCTGAGCAACAGCAGACCGCAGTGGGATTATTTTCTTTAACTAATCTTATACTGAGGTAATCTTTTAATCTAGATATAATCACTTGATTAACTGAAAATGGAAACCACCATTGGTGATGGTCCTATGGCTCTTTAAGCACATCAAGAACCTAAGTAGACAAATTAATCCTGCAAAAAGCTATAGCTAACAGGCATGAAATGGTCTTTATCACATTATATTTAAAGACTTTTTTATCTGCTTTATTCTAAACTGCAGTTGGAGGTCATTTTAAAAGACATTTTATCGAATGAAGTTGTCATAGTTTTAAAAAGAGGCCATATCAACACAGACAGAGAGATTAGTGTTGTAGTTTATCTGAAGCCTGTGCAACAAGATGCTTGACTCTATGTCTGTCTCTGCATCACTTTCTTTTTGTTCCCTCAAGCATATTCATATCTTTGGACTCAGATCATATAAGTCTTTGATGGCTGTATCAGGCAGACAGAGAGTTTAAAGGACTGGATAAGACAGGATGCATGTTGCACTGTTAGATTCGTGGGAAAGAATAAGAGGGAAGGTCACCTGATATGTCAGGATTGGTGGGGAATGTAAGCGATAGTGTTGGAGTGGCATGGCTTCCTGATTCACACATTACACAAGAGACAAAAAGAAGGTGTGCTGCATTCAAGTAGCATCCTGTTCTCAGGAAAGTGCTGATGATAAGTTTCCCAGTTTTTGTATGTCGCAACACCTCAAATTCCAATGTTAGGAGTTTAGTTTACTGATGAAATTATGTCGAAGTAAACAGGCAAGCAACATATAACATCATTCCTGTTTGACACCTGTTTAGATTGATAGTAGAGATAATAAAAACTGGTTGCCTATCTGTTTAAAGGGAAGAAGCTCAGCATGTTGCTGCAAGTTGGATGGCACTGAAGGGAATTTCCAGGCATTTATAGCAAACAGACTACATATATGAATCACTGGGGATACAGTATGAAGAGATGTCAAAACAGATGTGTAGTGCAGCCATATCTGGCACAGTGCTTGCTAAAATAAACCAGGTAGATGGTCCAAAATCATAAATAAATAGTTCCAAATTTAGGAAAAATTCAGGAAGAAGATAGATAACACTCTGATATGCATCTAACCCATTTACTGGTATCCTGATTTAGTCTCCGGAGAAATGGCCTGTATTTTGATGCTTCCAGTGTATCGAGCAGATATCTGGGTCAAGACTTTTTGTACGCCATCGTTCATAATTTAATTACAAAAGGCTAATAAACAGTTAAATTGCTGTCAGACAAGCTAACACAGAGAGACAGACGACTGTTTGCACTCACATTCACACCTATAGCCAATCTAGAGTCACCAATTAACCTAACCCCACTAACTGCATATTTTTGGAGTGTGGGAGGAAGCCAGATTACACAGTGAGAACATTCAAACTCCCCACAGGAAGTCCTCGGTCTGGTGGTGAATTTGAACTTTGGACTTTCTTTCTGTGAGGAAACACCACTGCAAGACTGTGGTTCTGAATTAAATGCAGAAAAGCAGCACCGAAGTAAGAGGTGATAATGGAGCGAAAGCACCCATTCACAGATGAAACTCATTCAAAGATTGGTTACATTCTACCAGGAGTGGGGTTTGAACCCACGAGGACTGTTGTCCATTGGACCTTAAGTCCAACGCCTTAACCACTCGGCCATCCTGATGGATAGCTTGCTGCTCATGTACAATTATTATATACACGGCCTGCAATACCAGCACACCCGACGCTACAAACGTCAAGGCTCAAACTGTGGAACGTGTACGATCTTACACTTTATGTATCTTGGGACTATTATTGATTCAAGATTGAATTTTGACTCAAACTGTGTCAAAATTCAGTATGCAGTATGCAGTATGCAGAGAGGGTTATCAGTGTTTGTTGTGCTTGCAGAAACTGCCCTCCTTTTACATTAAAAAGGTAATTATGACACTGTTTTATAGATGTTGTATTGAATCAGTTTTATCTTTTTCTTTGGTGTCATGGTGCAGCAGTCTATCTTAAAAGGACAGGAACAAACTGATGTAAACTGCGACCTGGTCAGGGAAGCTGATTAGTAAATCGCAGCTTAACCTAGAATCTCTGTATATCAGATTCTTGAAGTAGATGGCCAACTTCATCTTAAACAATGGCTCACACCCCTTGTTTGGGGAATTTAAGTTTCCCTTCCCTCTGCACAGAGGTTTGCAGTGTTACAAAAACACAACTTAGTCCCAGCTGCTATTGTTCATCTGAATAATTTATAGCAAGTTGTGCTCACATCTATTCCATTTATTTATGTATTTTGAATGGAAATCTGTTTATTTATTTTAGCATTTTAAGCTTGCTATAAATGCTATAACTGCCTCCAACTGCCATCCATGTTCGAGTGACTTCTCAAAGAGAGCACAGGCACCCAACTCTCCGAGTTCTGTCTCCAAAACTGGAAAATCCACATTTTTCTGCTGATATCTGAGAGGTCTTCTTGTGAATTGTACTTTGCTCTGTGACTGTGCTAGAATTCAAAAATGAAAAGAGATGTATTATGAGAAGAGGAACTGCAGGTCCAAATAATTCCATGAACAGCAAGAAGCAGGACAGTGTGTTGTGGTCTGCACAGAAATTTGCAGTCACAGGTGCAAGAAGGCTTATCAGTAATACCAGCCAAAGGTGTCAGATACTGCAGAATGCATGGATACCACATACAGCATTCTGTTTTGCTTTCTACGTCCTAAAGGCAAAATGAAACTATTGTGATATTTTGATCCGAAACAAAGAACAGGCTTGCTGTAATGATGTTTCCCATCCCCTTATTTTTCCTACTTCTCTTTTTTCACTTATCTTTGAGGCACTGAAAGATATAAGCTTCTCATAAGTTAACTGTATTTTCTGATACTTGACTAAATCCTGATAAGTCAAGTGTTTAAATCTGGTCATGAAGTTTTACAACAAAGGGAGCCTGCCATAGATCATTTTGTTTAGTGACTGATGTTTGAGTTTTATTACAGGGTTCAGCCTCAAACTAAAAAAAGCCACAAAATAGATCCATTTAGGTCCAGTCATCACCATCTTCAGGGTGAAAGTGAATCAAACTGATCATTGTTACGCTTTGAGCCCAAGATGCCCTTTTAAGATGTGAAAATATTTTGCAGCCTTCTGCCCCGGAGACAGCACGCCTGCCACAGACGAATGACGCTGCAACAAGCCATGACATCCCATCCTAAAACAGTCTTCCACCCCACCAGGCCACTGCCATCCTGGGAGGTCACCAGAATGCCAGTCATTCATTTCGAGCCTCAGCATGTGTGCCCCCAGCAAATAGCTGCGTTCCTCTGCTGCTGAGGCTGCACATAGCATGTGATCTGATGGCTGGCTTTGGCCAGCAGCACCGTGGAAAGAGAGAGAGAGGGCTCTGTGTCTGCGTACAAGCTCAGCAGCTCTGAAAATGTACCAGGGGCTTTCCATGGTCGAGAAGCAATGAGGGGAATGCAGGCTGGGGATGCTGAGAGGGGGTGTGTGTGTGCGAGGGTTCAGTAAGGGGTGAAAAGAGAGGATGAGCAGGTAGATGATGGACTGGCTTAGCAGTGTGAAAAGCATTGGGTGTGATGGAGTGATAGGAAGCTTCATTTGAGCCCTTAGCTCTAAGTTAAGCAGAGCAGGTATTTATAGGTGGCGGCACTGTGGTGAAGTGATTATTGCTGCAGCTCCACAGAAAGAACAAGCCCGGCCTTTTGTGTGGACCTGTGCTTCTTCTCACAGTCCAAAGACGTTCACATTAGGTTTACTAAGAATTCAAAATTGGTCCTAGATGGAAATGTGATCATCAGTGCTTGACAGTCTTTCAGCCCTGTGCTCAACAGACCACCAGGGTGTACACCACCTCTAACCTCATGACAGCTGGGATAGGCTCCGCCCCTGCACGACCCTGAATTGGAAAAGTCACTTGGTTAATAGACAGAAAATGGAGGTATTTATGGAGTATGGTTTCCCAGCATAAAACGTGGTATAAATTGACACGGCAGGTGTCTGAAGCTTAATGCTTTTCTTCTCAGTGCAGATATATCATGTCCGTTTACGTGCTCTTCATATTCTTACAACTGGCACAAACGAATTGTGCAATAAATGTGGAGTTTATTCAGTATTGTGCAACACTTCACTGCATATTGGGTAATATTAGACATTACGCTACCAACTTTGTCTCTCACTGAATACCTTTGGCATACTTTATTAGTTTGTGGTTTAAAAACACGATTTAATAGTTTCAGAGTATTTTTCAGAGTATTACATGATAATTATACTTATTATTATTATTGTTGTTGTTGTTGTTTTCTTATAGTTTTAACTTGTGTTTTTTTTACATCTATTTGTTAAGTGCTAGAATAAACCTTAGCATAATATATGTCTTATCCATATTTTAGCATTTATTCCACAAAATGAGAAATATTTTCTTTTAGAGGTTTAATGTTTAAACACGTGTCAGAAGGGAAATAAGACCTAATTTGGTTTATAAAAATAAACGCATAAAACCAAAATTGGATGGGGAGTAAAAGATAATCTATCTGAAGTTGTTTTGGATGGTACTTCATGATTTTAGGAACTGATAGGAATGTTGTGTTATTACAACTTCCATTAAAGAGATAAGGAAACAGTTATCACGCCTTCACTGTTAACACATATCATAAAGATTTTTTCAAGGAGTTAACTCCCTCTGTGGCAGCTTGTTTGCAAATCAAAGAATTTCTAACAGTATCATCCATTATCTTCGTGATGACTTTCAGCTTTGGCATTACTACCAGTAAGTGACGATGATTCAGCTGTCAGATATGTTAATGGTAGCAACTCCAGGCCTGGACGTGTCTGCTGACACACAGAGGCTGTATTGTGTTGACAAAAAGAAGACCATTGTCTTATTTTGCACAGAAAGTCTATTTTTAAGGCTGAATGGAGAAGCGAAGGGGGGAAAATATCTCCTCCTGTGATGAATTTAACTGGTCAGAAATATGCAATGGAAAATTTTTGACTCTATTTAAACTTCATGAAATGTCATACTGTGCATTGACCCAGATAGACAAAGCTGTGAGCATCAGCTGTGCTTGCACTGTGTAGTTTATACTCTCTCTCTCAAAAAAAAGAAGGTAGAATCTGTAACATGTTTGTCAGGCTGATTGAACGTTATTACGTCTGTCTCCATTATGTACATATTTACCAAGTCTTTCAGCGATGTGGGCTTAATCATTTGAACAAAAACAGACTTTTTAATCTAATCCTAGCTTACATTCACGTTGCTTTACTTTGGAGAAAACGTCATTCCTCCGTGTTTCAGTTTATAAGACCGAACCAGGTGATTACTTAGCTGTAAGAATCACTAACATTTACTATATAACACCTAATTGTGAATGATCCTTTAGAATGAGTCTCAAATATGCCTGCTTCTTTAAACCTCCAACCAGCTGCACTCGCTTGAATTTACTTGGAACAAGACCTTTAACTTATAATGCCATTTTCTCCAAATGTGCCATATGACACTGAGATTATGTTTGTGTTGTGATGACCTTGTTTCAACCTTGTTTTTGGAGGCCTGGGAGCCCTCCCTGTTGCAGACATTTAAGAACTGGTGTCTGTAATTATAGTTTGTTCAAGTTTGGGGAAAATCACGTAAATCTAACTTTGAAATTCTTTAGATAAGCCTTTTTATCCCAGAGGTTTTACGGGAATTTATATTTTCTAAACGTGAAGGCAGCAGAGTGAACTGTAAACATAACGTGATTTTCTCACAGCACTGCGAGTTTAGGATCAATATTCACTCGCTTTTTAACTCCGAAATGTTCTGCTGTGTTTACAAGTTTGCAGCAGACTATGTGTATTTTACTCACTTACGCTTGACTCATGCTTTATAATGGAGTTTTTCAGTGTGCTGAACCAAAAATGTAAAGTTGTGAACCATAAACAAAACAAAGGAACTGTGGCTTTCTCTCAATTTCTCATGTAACGATTTAGATTACATCTCTAGTCCTTTGTGGCATTGGTAAATCCTGCAGCGCTGCTCTCTAATCTCCTGATAGCCCTTCTATTGGCAGGTCTCACCAAGAGCTCAGTAACACATCCAGGCAGCTGTTTTGAAGCATCTATTCAAATTAATGATGAGAAAGACATAAATGATTATGTCAGATTATGGATATAGTAACCAAAGATACTTTGTAATTACAGTGTGCAGCCACTAATCCAGCCAGGGGGGCTGATAAACCGGTGTACTCCGGTGTACTTGCAGTTCCCAAGCGGGACAGATAAATGGGGAAGACTGCATCAGGAAGGGGATCCAGCATAAAATCTTTGCCAAATCAAACAAGCTGATCATCAAGAATGAGATTTCATACTGAATCTGCTGGAGGTCAGGTTAACAATGACCAGCTGTGGTGCTGTTGGCTAACAGGGTGCTAATGAAAACTCCTTCTGCTGGTGTAGGACAAAGGAAGAAGAGAGAGAGAAGGAAAGGCAGGACTGTGGAGGTGAGAGTGGTGACTATGTGAATGCAGGGCTCATGACTGGTAAGGAAACAAACTTAGAGAGCCAAGGTGAATGTACAGAGGGGGGATAGTTGATAGATGAAAGATGTTGACTATGTAGTGAATCAGGGCATGAAGGAAGATGCCATGGATACGGTAAGATGGAGATAGATGATCTGCTGTG